CTCCTCTGAGTTGGTTATTTTCTCCTTTCTCAATAAGTTCCACGTTTCCTGATTTTTCTGGAAATCACAAGTCACGTGCCACAAGTTTCATTATCTTATTTATTAATTAGCTAAGATATTGGGTATTTGCCACTAGATTTTATGCTGCTTGACTATACCTTATAATTTTTTGGTATCTTCTATCACACAGAAGACAGACTATGTATATATAATATATACTCAACAGATATGCTGTATCTTGTATAAATAAGTGAATACATGTTGAATCATTTGTTTCTTCGAGTATCCCTGTTATATCTTCAGGAAAAAATGCTAAATTCCAAAACTAATTCATATAACATTGGGTAAGGGGATTTACTAAATTTGTTATTAATGTTCAAGGCACAAGTATAGAAAAGCTTATAGTTATGACTCCGAATAATAAAAATGAAATCTCTCTGCCTTTCCTCTTTCTTTTGATTTACTTGGCCCATTAAGATGTTCAAGGAGCAATTTAAGTCTATAGCTTTACATAGAACTGATGTTTCCTTCTCTGTATCCCAAGCAATTTGTACATATTTCAAGTTAGGAGTTAGGAGTTTGTACATATTTCAAGTTAGGATCATATAATTTATCATCCAAACCTGGACACAAGTGAGAATGAAATGGGGCACGAAAAATTATCATGCCAGGAAAAGAGGTGTCCCTGACAAACCAGGAAATACGGTCTTACTACTTTGAAAGTAGTTATCTATTACTAACAAATGTCACTCAACCATGAAGTTGTTGGTCTCAGCCTTATTTCTCTTAGCTTTCTTTGTTGCCTAGAACTGCCTGGCATGTTGTGGTAGTAGAAGAAATGTTAGTGCCCTCTTTAAAAATGTTCATTTAATTGAACATTATACTATAGTGATGTAGTACTCAGATCAACCCATTTGGGGCCTTTCATGGGCCATTTTCTCAGTATTAGAAATGTAGGGTAATGAACTTAATTATATGCTTGTGTAATGATAATAGCTAGTATTTACCAGCACTTAGCCTGTGCCAGGCCCAGGGCTAAGATTTTTCCTTGAATTCTCTCATTGATTTCTCACAATAGCCCTCAAAGTTAGGTACTATTAATGCTATCCGTCCCATTAAATTAAAAGGAGGCTGGGCACGGTGGCTCACGCTTGTAAATCCTAGCACTCTGGGAGGCCGAGGCGGGCGGATTGCTCAAGCAGCGTTAAAACCAGCCTGAGCCAGACCCCGTCTCTACTATAAAAAAAATAGAAAGAAATTAATTGGCCATCTAATATATATATATATATATATATATTAATAAATATATATAAAATTAGCCGGGCATGGTGGCTCGTGCCTGTAGTCCCAGCAACTCGGGAGGCTGAGGCAGTAGGATTGCTTAAGCCCCAGGAGTTTGAGGTTGCTGTGAGCTAGGCTGACGCCACGGCACTCACTCTAGCCTAGGCAAGAAAGCGAGACTCTGTCTCAAAAAAAAACAACAAAAAAAAACCAAAAAAAAATTAAAAGGAAAAACAAGTTTAGAAAGAACTTTGCTCAGAGTCATCAAACCAATTACACAGCAGTTTGGATTTTTTTTTTTTGAGACAGAGTCTCACTTTGTTGCCCAGTCTAGAGTGAGTGCCGTGGCTCACAGCAACCTCAAACTCCTGGGCTCAAGCGATCCTTCTCGCCTCAGCCTTCCGAGTAGCTGGACTACAGGCATGCACACCATGCCCAGCTAATTTTTCTATATATATATATAGTGCCAATTAATTTCTTCTATTATAGTAGAGATGGGTCTCAGCTCTACTCAGGTTGGTTTTGAACTCCTGAGCCAAAGGATCCACCCGCCTCGGCCTCCCAGAGAGCTAGGATTACAGGCGTCAGCCACTGCACCTGGACAGCAGTTTAGATTTGAACTCTAGACTCTGACTCATGCATTACATCCCCTAAATGAGAAATAGCTGGTATCAAATTTAGAAAGTAGTTTAAACAAATATGAATACATATACTTTAAGAAAACCTATTGTTTAAAATTAAGGAAATTTATTTAACTAATAAAAGCTGCACTGCAGGCCAGGATGCAGCTGGACTCATAACTGATTAGTATGGTTGGTAGGACCAACATGTTCTTCCTGTTGTCTCGGTGATGTTCCACTGTTATGAATAGTAAGTGCAAAACAGTTTCTTTGTTCTATAAATAGTTGCTTTATCTTTTATAAGTATTTTCAATGTATATTATGTGAATAAATTATGAACAGTGTCTATTTTCTACCTTTCTTTTTGTTTTTTTGAGACAGAGTCTCACTTTGTTGCCAGGCTAGAGTGAGTGCCATGGCGTCAGCATGGCTCACAGCAACCTTAATCTCCTGGGCTCAAGTGATCCTACTGCCTCAGCCTCCCATGTAGTTGGGACTACAGGCATGCACCACCATGCCGGCTAATTTTTTTTGTATATATATTTTTAGTTGGTGAATTAATTTCTTTCTATTTTTAGTAGAGACGAGTCTTGCTCAGGCTGGTTTCGAACTCCTGACCTTGAGCGATCCTCCTGCCTTGGCCTTCCAGAGTGCTAAGATTATAGGGGTGAGCTACCGCCCCCGCCTATCCTTGTCTTTTGGAATAGATTTTACTTGGTAACTGTTTTAAGGACAGTGCAGACACATCATAATATTGACACTAGAAAAAATTAATTACTTGGTATTATTATAATTACAAATTACAGTTGACATTGATGAAACACTGTTAGTGGTTTTGTAAACAAAAATGAAGTCTATTTAAAACCAGGGTCAGGTGTGGTGGCTCATGCCTGTAAATCCTAGCACTCTAGGAGGCTGAGGCAGGAAGATCGCTTGAGGTCAGAAGTTCAGACCAACCTGAGCAAGAATAAGACCCGGTCTTGACAAAACTAGAAAGAAAAATAGCCAGGTGTGGTGACATGTGCCTGTAGTCCCAGCTACTCAGGAGGCTCAGGCAGTTGGATCCCTGGAGCCCAGGAGTTGGACGTGGCAGTGAGCTATGATAATACCACTGCACTCTAGCCCAGGTGACAGAGCAAGACCCTGTCTCAAAAAAAAAAAAAAAAAATCCAAACTGTACTGTATAATCTGTAGCTTTGAATTGTTTGGTTTAAATCTTAAAGGCTAAATTAAATATTAAAGAGAGTGTAACGAATATAATATTGACAAATTAACTGATAGAAATTGAAACCAAGAGGAAATTTAAAATAAAAAACAGGTCATTTTTTGTTGCTTTACACTTTTTATTATGTCAGGGAATGTAAACATTTTATTTATTGTAGGCACCTGGGATACATTGGTTGAACAAAACAGACAAAATCCCAGCTTCTACTGGCGAAGACAAGACAGACACTAAAAGATAAACATATAAAATAAATACAGGCCGGGCACGGTGGCTCACGCCTGTAATCTAGCACTCTGGGAGGCCGAGGTGGCGGATTGCTCGAGTCAGGAGTTCGAAACTAGCCTGAGCAAGAGCAAGACCCCGTCTCTACCAAATAGAAAGAAATTAATTGGCCAACTAATTATATATATAGAAAAATTAGCCGGGCGTGGCGGCGCATGCCTGTAGTCCCAGCTACGCAGGAGGCTGAGGCAGGAGGATTGCTTGAGCCCAGGAGTTTGAGGTTGCTGTGAGCTAGGCTGACACCACGGTACTCATTCTAGCCTAGGCAACAGAGGTGAACTCTGTCTCAAAAAAAAAAATAAATAAAAAAAAAAAAAAAATAAAATAAATACAGTCATACCTCAGTCTTCTTGGGGGATTGGTTCCAGGATCCCCACTGACACCAAAATCTGCGGATGCTCAAGATCCTTATAAAAAATGGCATAGTATTTGCATATAGCATATATACCCTCCTGTATACTTTAAATGATCTGTAGATTACTTACAATACCGAATACAATGTAAATGCTACATAAATAGTTGTTATACTGTATTTTTTTGTGTTAATTTTTTTTTCTTGAATATTTTTGATCTGCGGTTAGTTGAATCAGTGAATGCGCAACCACAGATCCGGAGAGCTGCCTGTAAAGATTGCTGCCAGGTGTGAAGTGTCATGGGCAGAAAAGAGAAAGAGTAAGGTAGAAGGGATTGAGAATTGGTGTCTGGCGGTTGCAGTTTTAAATGCCTGGCCCAGGCTAAGGCGACATTTCCTTGTGAGAGGACATCCCGCTGCTGTTTTGACAATGGGTAGAGCGATGATGGGCAGGGAGACCCTTCAGTTTGGCAGGTCACCGAAGTATAACTGAGATGACGGAGGCAACGCAGGTGAGAACTAGTCTGAGTTATTTCGAAAGTACAACCGACGAGCTTTCCGGACAGACGGAAGCGACGACGAGTGTGAGGAGCCGAGGCTGAGGCGCGCGGGCTGGGCGCTCACGTCGGGCGCCGCGCTCGGCCTTCGCCCACGACGCTCGCGGTGCCGTGGTGGGGAGCCGGCCTCTGGTCTCTGGGGTGTGGACAGCACAGCTAGAGCGGTCGCAGGGGCTGGTACCCGAATGGTCCTCACATTTCAAATGCCAGCTGGACGTGCCTGGCCTCAAGCCAGTTACTGACTGGTTCAGGCTCTGACTTTTACATTAAAAACAATGGTCCGAGGGTTTCAGGACATCCCGATCTCAGCCGCTACCGACAGACACCTCGCCCCGCCGGCCCGGCCCCCGCCCTTCCCGTCAGGCCAGGCCGTGGCCCCACACGGCGCGCAGACCGGCGGGGTGCGAGCCGCGGCCGCCTGCAGGCCGGTGGGAAGAGGCTCCCGCGCGCCCCCGCCCAGGCTCGGTCGCCATCTTCCCGCGCGTCCCTACCGCGCAGGCTCCACCCCCCGCTGTCGGCGGTCCGCTCGCCACAGGAGCGGCTGCCCAACCTGCGCGGCTCGAAAGTGGGGGTCCCGCCGGGGCCGGGGGCGGGGCCTGGCGGGGGCGTGACATGGCCGGGGCGTGGCCGGCGTGGCGGCCGCGGCAGTTGCGCGACGAAGCCCCGCCCTCCCGCCGCTCTCCGGACGCGCAACGCCTCTCGCTGCGCCGCGCGCGAGTCTGGGCGGGGAGGCGGGAGCCAGGAAGCGGCGAGCGCCGGGGAGCGCAGCTGCGGGCGTGGGGGCGGCAGGAGCCGCGGAGCCGGCGCCGAGAGCGGCTGCTGCCGGAGCGGGCGGCCGAGACAAAGGCGACGGTGAGTGCAGCGCCGGCCCCCGCGGCCCCCACCCTCGCCCGCTGGGCCCTTGGGCGGGGGCCTGGAGCCCCAATCCCGGTCCCCGGGGGCTCCGGGCGAGCGCGGCCGGGCCCTGCCGGCGCGCGCCGCGGGCTGAGCCTGCGGCTCCATTTTCAGGTTTGGGCGAGGTCTCGTCCCCGGGGACCGCACCTTTGGTTTTCGTCCGCTCTCTGAGGAAAGGTTACGAGCTCGGCGCAGAACGCGGGCGGGCGCGGCCAACCGCCCCACGGTGACGGGAGGTGCAGACCCTCCGCGACCTCGCGGGCTGGAGGGCGGCGGGCGGCGAGGCCCGGGTCTCCAGGTGACGCTTCGGCGCGCGGGGGCCCGGCTCCCGAGCCCGGCCCTCGCCTGAGGCGCCCGCGGGTCCCGCGCGGAGCTCCCGGGCTCGGAGTGGAGGTCCCGGCCGCCCCGTCGGGGAGCTCGGGCCACTCCACAGGTGGCTTCACTTACCCGGCGCTCGCGGCTTCAGTGTGAGTTTGGTGCCGGCTGTGGTGGGTAGCGGCTCGCGGATGCCGCTGTCGTAGCTGGAGAAGCGCCCCACTCCGCTGACTTCAGTATGCGCCAGAAACAACGTCGAGATTCCTTATTACCGTGTAGTTATCTGAAATGATAAGGTTTTGTAGAGGAATTTGGTGGTGGTGTGCAGTTTACAAAATTTAAACGTTAAAGGACTTGGAATACTGTAGATGCTCATGAAAATGTTTGTTGAACGAATGAATGAATCTGGAAACTTCAGACAAAGCTGATCTCACATCTAGTAAAATTTAGGCACATACTCTTTTGACTAAGATTAAGGAAAAAACGGCAAAAACCATGTAGCTTTGTTTATATGCTTGATTTTGATTTTTACCCAATATACATGCATACTGTGGAACAATCAGTTGTTACTCTCAATACTACGAACATAGAAAACAAATTCGAAATGTGAGTTTATTTTGAGAAAAGTTGATATACATTATCTATTAAAAACAGAAAATTATTTCTAATTTTCTTTAAAAATAATGGAGAACATAACGAGGCCCTTGGATTGTATTTTGAGACCCAGCTTTATATTTCATTGTGAATAAAGTTGTTTATGTGTTTTTTGAGGGACTGCTGTGGTCTTGAGTGTCTTTACCAATAAGGGAGAATTCTAAATTGAAGGAGAAAAAAACAAAACAAGTAATGTTGCATTAATACAATTAAACATTACTATTTACTCAGCAGATATTCATTAAACATTTATCTATTATGTGCTGAGATCTGTGTTGAGTGCTGTTTCTAGGGACGAACAAAACTCAAAATAATCCTTTTTTAAAACGAGCATAAAATTCTTTCCTTATAATCGATGTTGCAGGTGGAGACTGTCTTGAATCCCTAGTGCCTGCTTAAAGTTGGGAAAGATGGCAGGTGAACTGCAGGAACTGTAAATTCGTAACAGTCTATTTAAAAGTTAATAAGTAACTTACTAGGGCTAAGATGATTAGGTTGCACTTTCATATTGTCAGTTTATTAAAATCTACATTTTAGAAAGAAGGAAGAGATTTAACAAACTAGTGTTTTTATTTCCATCTTACAAGAAGATTTTAGTACAGTGTATTTATTGAAAGGTCATGTACTTCTGATTCTGTGTTCTGTAAATAATCTTTGCAGTAACAACATTTTCTATTTTGCAAAATCACTGATGATAAACATTGGATTCCTTTTCTATAAGAAATGTTTTTAAGTAAAGCACCATTTCAGGAATTTTATTTTCTCCTTTTCTTTACTATTTACAAACAAGTATTAACGTGATAGTACTGAAATTGGAAGGATTATTAGTAATAATTTGTGGTTCCATATATGGACTTTACTTGTAGTTTTACAGCTGATAAAACTGCTTATTAAAAAGGTGAAATTTTTAGTATTGCATTTATTCTGAACATAAGATTGCATTGTCTATTTTTATCTTATTTATATATGTTTATGGTTTTTGTTTTGTTTTGTTTTGTTTTGAGACAGAGTCTCACTTTGTTGCCCAGGCTAGAGTGAGTGCGTGGCGTCAGCCTAGCTCACACCAACCTCAAACTCCTGGGCTCAAGCGATCCTACTGCCTCAGCCTCCCGAATAGCTGGGACTACAGGCATGCGCCACCATGCCGGCTAATTTTTATAATATCAGTTGGCATCATTATTTCTTTCTATTATGTAGAGATGGGCTCACTTTGCTCAGGCTGGTTTTGAACTCCTGACCTTGAGCAATCCGCCCGCCCGGACCTTCCCAAGAGACGGACTTAAGGCGTAGAGCATACCGCGAACCTGCCTCTTTCTTTCATTTCTTTCTTGAGACTGAGTCACTTTGTGTACCAGGCTTAATGAGTCCCCTGGCGTCAGCCTAGTTACAGCACACTCAAACTCCCTGGGCTCAAGCAATCTCTGCCTCAGCCTCCCGACTAGCTGGACACAGGCATGTGCCACCCATGCCCGTTAATCCTTCTTCTCTCTCTATATTAGTTTGGCAATTATTTCTATCTCGATTTATATGAGATACACGGAGGGCTTGGTCTTGCTCAGGCTGGTCTCGCGCTCCTGACCTTGAGCAATCGCCTGCCTCGGCCTCCAGAGTGCTAGGATTACAGGCGGAGCCACCAGGCCCGCCTCGTCATGCTTAAGTCTGGTCAGAATGGGAATTGTAGGTTCCCTGTGTATTCTTGAGAGGAACTGAGTAAAAATGTGCTTATACTATGTACTTGCTGGTTAGTTGATAGCATTTTTTCTGATTTTTTCATACTACCTGGAAAACTTGAATTGCATATTACTTAACCTCTGCCTCAGTTCAAAACTTAAGTGTACTTGAATCTTCTATAACATACAATTATGATGATGGACTAGAATTTATGAGACTGGTTTTGGACCCATCAAATGGGTTCTGAATTGAATGCCAAAAAGACAGCATGCAGTAACTATTGTACATAAATAAATAAGACTGTCTTATAAGTTTTGAAACACTATAACCCAGTATACATCTATAAATGTATCTTAGTCAAAAAATTAGAGCTGAATAGGTAAATCGAAATATCCTCCTTTTTCGGTCAAGCTAGAAACATTACTACGTCTACACTGATCTGCAAGTATTACAAGTCAGCAGTATGCCTTTGAAAAAAGAAGAAATGTGCCCGCTTGTATTTCTATTTTGTGCTTGCCTGCTAGAAAACTCATGCTAAGTTTCATCCCC